GGAACTGAGATTAGTTTAGGAGCCTGAGGAGTCCAGGGGGTTACATACTTCATTGTATATAAGCTCTTCCAGGCCTGGGGTGCCAAATGGGCCAGGGCTTTAGACAGTGCCTAGTAGATGCCTATTGTGAAAAGATAACAAGGACAAAACTTAGACCTAAAAAATAAATGAACAATACAAGTGTAAAACAAGCTGGGAGAGGGAAGAAGGTGAGGGGTGGGGGGTATGACCAAAGTACTTTATACACATGCATGAAAAAAGAAAAATGAAACTCATTCAAGGTGTCTTAAAAGGGGGTTAAGCAAGAGAATAGGAAATATCGATCAAAGTGTATCCTGTGCTTGTATGGAAATACTACAGTGAAACTCCTTTGTACAATTAATACATGCTAATAAAAAAATCAAAGGGAAAAATAATAAAAACCAATCCCAGCATCATGGGCCAAGAGTTGCTTTTTTTAAAAAGCCAGGTTTAGTGACTCATACCTATAATCAAAACTGTTGTGAAGGCCAAGATTGAGAGGATCATTGTTCTAGTTCAGGAATCTCATCTCAACATACTAACCAAGAATAATGTTTCATACCTGAAGTCCCAGCTACATGAAAGGCATAACTAGAAGGATTGTGATCTGAAGCTGCCTTGGGCAAAGGGTGAAACTCTATATGGAAAATAGCTTGCTTGCCTGCCTGCCTGCCTGCCTGCCTTCCTTCCTTCCTTCTTTCCTTCCTTCCTTCCTTTCTTTTTATATTTCTCTTTCCTGTTTGTTTTTTAAAAAGGGGGGGGTGGGAGTGTGGCCCTTAAAGAAGTGCGAGAGCTGGCAGGGTTGTGGCAGTCTCCCCACACAGCTAGCTGGTCAGCGGGGCCTGGCCTGGGTGGAGAGGGTTACAGGGAGTCCCTTCCTTTGCCTACATCTCACCTCCAACTCGTGGGAACTCCAGAGCTTTCAAAGTGGCTGACTGCCACTGGGTTGAGAAGCACTTTGAATGCCTGCCCTTGCCATGCCAGGTGCATCAGACTGGAGGATGCCTGTCTTCAGGTGCTCAGCCGCCCCGACAGGCAGGAAGGTAGGACACGTTTGGATGGAGAGCTCTGAGTGAGTGGGCTGAGCTGGAGTCTGACAGGACCTGGGCCGCCAGGTCGCATGATGGACATCACATTTGAATGTTTCCCTTAAGTAGCTTTGTGATCTCGACAAGTTGCCTAACTGGGTTAATGTTTGTTACTGGGATGGAGCCCAGGTCTCCTGCGAACTGGGCTACCACACACACTGCACTCTGTCTGCAGGGCACCCCAGCCCTACCTGATCACCTGTCTGTGCATGCACCCCAGCCCTATCTCAGAGGGGTTGGGGCCTGTGGGAGGCACGTGAGGGTTCGGTGGCCTGGCTGGCATGGTGGGAATGGAGAGAGCTAGGAAGGCTGGGGCCACCTCATCCTCGAAGATGTGGGACTGACAGAAGGGAGTTTCTGCGATGTTTTCATTTGTGCCAGTCTGTCTTGCAGTGCGTTCAGTTTTGAACTTATTGCCCATGAAGTGCTGAAGGACTTATGTGTGACATATCTTAGGAAAAACCTTGTGGGATGCTGCTTCAGAATGGGATCGCCCTGGGCCAGGAGATGGTAGAGGGTTTTTGAAGGTAGGAAAGCTAGTTAGAGGAGGAGCAGATAGCCAGCATTTGGAGAGAGTCCGTGGGGGGGTGGTGTCCAGAATCTGGGGGTATGAATTTCAAGAAGAACATAGCCACAGAACAGGGGTAAAGAAGAGCAGGCTGGGGGACCAGAAGCCTCACAACCACAGGGAGCTTCGTCTGTTTTCTGCATGACAGCCTTGCCTCTAGTGGTTGCAGAAGTACTCTCCTGTTGGTCCGGTCAAAGGTGACAGGCCCTTGTGGTCCCCGAGACTAGCGTGGCCTTAGCTCAGGCCAGCTTAGTTCTTAAGAGCCCCTGAACATGAGATGAACAGGAGATGGAGCATCAGTGGTACCTGCATCAGTTCAGGATGATGCCTAGGCCTGGACA